TTAAAAACTGTAAAGAGTCCAAAAATTAAGCGTGAACAGTAATAAAAGTGTTTGAATGTTTTTAGAAGAACTTTATAAACAGTTCTGGTTTACCTGGCCATCTCCTTAGTCTCAGGATGAGAACTGGTCAGCTCCAGAACTTTCTCCAGGAGACTTATTCCACCTTCTTTTATCAGCAGGGCACAATATTTACTTGCTGTGGATGAAAATATAAAAAAAATATGAAATATTTTTGGAACAACACAGTCGGAGCACATTTAGAGGATGAAGAAACATTTTTAATTTCCCAGAATGAGCACTGAAAAAGAAATATTGATCTTTTATGAGGAATCTGTGTAATGAGGGTTTATGGTTCTGTCAAGAGGAGGTTGCTGGTTTGAAGCTTGCAGATACTCACGGTAAACTGACACCAGGTTGTAGAGAGCCCATGTGGCCCAGTGCTGACTGACGGGGGAGATGCTCTGAGGCAGTAGGCGAAGGATCGGCTCAAATGACCTGAAACACCACGGCACATTTCAAAAGCTGCTCCTAAACATGCCTACACTTACGGTTCATTTTAAAACAAGAGTTAAAGACTAACACTGTGAGCAGGGAGGTGGTGCGTCATGTCACCTGATCAGACACCACAGTCTGCCTGGACTTTTGTAACAGTAACTGATGGCTGCTCATGACTAACATCCAGAACCAACGTCATATCTTAGATGTTATTACTGTTTTTCTTAGACATTTTATTGTTGGATGTAACTGGGACCCAGTGTACATAATTTCCCTCCACCACATGTACCACATGAGGTGCGAATGACAAAGAAACTCTGACTCTGACAACAGAGTCCCATCTAATACTCAGGTAAAGTTACTGAGTGGAGGGTTACGGTGATGTTACACCCTAGAGGTGCGGGGGGGCGGGGGGCAGAGAGAAGAGACCTGCTGAAGTCTCACGTGCTTTTTGAAGGGTTTCTTACAACTTGTTTTCATGTAATAAAAGTTATTTGATGAGTTTGTTCTGATAACTGAGACCCCGGATCAAAAATCTTCACCTGTAGTTGATGTTGCGGCGCGAGCTGACGTCCCAGCTCTGGATGGCATCCCACATGCGGTCCATAACAGCATCCCTCCGAGGCTCGCCCATGGCCCAGACCTCCGGTCCGTCAAACATGATGTGTGAGAGCACGCCGCAGGCATTGTATGACACCTCGATGCCGTCAGCCTTGCTCTCCAGGAGGTTACTGCAGGGGACAGCGAGACCACGTTTAAAATCAGCAGAAAGATGAAGAGAAAAGCAGAGCTGACCAACGGCTGGAAGTTTAAAAAACAAAGTTAGTTTTGTTTTGGACTTTGGTGCAAACCTGAAGAAGATTCTGAGTATAATAACTCTTTAACTGTTTCAACAAACATTTTGTTGCTTCTGGTTCTTTATTTGACAGTTACTACCAAAAAATCAGCCACTTCACTTAATAACCAAACTTCTACAAATCAAATCCCTCCTACAAGTCAATCCTCAGTTAATCACAGCTTCTCTTTTTCTCCATTCTCAGTCAGTGAGGTCAATAAACTGTTAAAAGATCTTGATCCTAAAAAATCTGCAGGTCCAGATGAACTTCCACCTTAATTCTTAAGGCTGGCTGCTCATATCATCACAGTCCCTGTGACCCACATCTTTAATCTCTCCATAAGACAAAACTCCATCCCAGACACTTGGAAAACAGCCTTTGTTCTTCCTTTGCTGAAGGGAGGAGACCCCACCTCACTGAACAACTATCGACCAATCTCTAAACTCTGCATTTTAGCCAAGGTTCTAGAAAAACTGATAAACTCTCAAATCAAAAATTACCTGGACTCATTTAACATCTTACCTCCACATCAATCTGGTTTCAGGAAACAACACAGCACAACCACTGCTTCACTGAAGGTTCTTAATGATGTTGTTGAAGCACTAGATGCTAAGGATTATTGTGCTGCACTTTTCTTAGACCTGTCTAAAGATTCTGACACTGTGGATCATAACATCTTGTGTCATAAACTCTCAGAAATTGGTTTCTCAGATCACACCATTGGTTGGTTCTCTAACTATCTTTCAGACCGGAGGCAATGTGTTCAACATAATGGTACTTCCTCCAGTTATTTAACATTCAACAATGGTGTACCACAAGGCTCAGTCTTAGGACCCACCCTCTTTACAATCTACATACATAATGTAGGTAAAAACATCCCTAATGCATCCATACATTTCTATGCTGACGACACAGTTGTTTATTGTCGAGCTAAAACTGTTGCTAAGGCTTTCCAGCTTTTGAAATCTGCATTTAACTACATCCAGACTGATTTGTTTCACCTCAAACTTGTCCTAAATGCCGAAAAAACCAAAGGGATGCTTTTTTCAAAGAGGAAGTTGGTCCCAGCAGTTCTTCCTCCGATTTTATCCTCAAATGGTGTCCCCATTGAGTTTGTTGATTCCTATAAATATTTGGGTATCTTGGTCGACTCACATCTTTCTTTTAAGCTCCATGTGGAAAACTTGGTAAAGAAACTGAAAGTTAAAATGGGTTTCTTTTTCAGAAACAAATCCTGTCTAACCCTGAATGCTAGAAAACGCCTTGTATCTGTGACTTTCCTTCCCTCAATTGATTTTGGTGATATTATTTACATGAACGCTCCTACAAGAACCCTGCAGATGTTGGATGCTGTCTATCATGGTGCACTAAGATTCATAACTGGCTGTGATTATCGTACCCACCACTGCAC